TAGCCTCGTAATTCCCATCGCCCCCCTTTTTCGTGTCCCGCCACGTTCAGTCGACCCATAAAGCGAGCGTCCAAGACGATCCACGTTCGTTTTTCCCGCCACTGCCACGATGAATAAATGAAAATCAGCTCTGGTATCTCTCCACGTAATTTATCGACGTGCTATCGGCACACCGATCTGAGAACCGCACTCAAGTGAATCGAGGACATTTCACTGGTGCATTCAGAATGCGCGCCTGAATCGAAAAAACGATGGCGAAACAGGAAAAAAGATACAGGCTGAAATACCTAGTAGTTTAACACGTTTCAAAGTACGTATATCATGTTTGACTTCACCTAAAGTGTAATGTAGTGTCCGCGTCTCCCATGCACAACAATAAGGAGTCAAATAAGAACACGAAACGTAGGGTACGGGATTGGTCGCGTAGGTAAAGCGGTCGACTGTGGATCCGAGGATCGTGGCTTCGAATCCCCGTGCCTTATTTTTCGTTTAGACTCCTACAGTAAGTAGGTATTTTATCCTAGGTACTCATGGAAATATCCAAAGAAAATTTTTAGAGCAATGTTTGACTGTTTAAATTTGTTGGATGGTACAAGTGAATGTAATACAAATGGTTCAAATGGTAGTATGCTAATTCCTGAAATACTGTGGGCTAAGTGTAGGTTACGTATATAATGGGTGTAATATAGAACAATAACAAAGGTTTAATATATAATATAATAAACTAAATTCTTCATATTAATTTAAACAATATTCAAAATCTTGACGATGAGAGAAATCTTCCACTTTTCCGCGTGATGCAAACGGGTTAATCAGAAAGTTAACCGGCGTCGTCTGCTATTGAAATTCATAAGCGATCGTTTCGTGCACCGCCGCATAACTTCAATACCAAATTCGCTCGAAGCTGATTGCCATGGTTGCAATCGAAGCGCATCGAGGAATTCGGGCGCGTTGTTAACAAGATGGTCGTCGTCTGTGTCCGCCGTAATTCAATTCCAAGATGCACGCTCGTTTCGAGGAAGTTCGAGCCACGGACAGTCGGATGGAGGCTAACTAAACCTGAAAAGATGCTTTTTGCCAGGTGCATGAGACGTCGATGTTGACCATCGCGGGATTCTGCGCTTGTGACTCCAGAGATCCGCTGGTACTTTCCAGTAGGAGGGATCGGTGCACCTTTATTGGATAAAACTCGATGAAGAAGTACGGTGCCGAAGTCATTGGCCAGGGCCCCGGCAGCCACGGAAGAAAATGAGATACCTTAATAAGACGTCGTCCTCCCTGGGTGTAATTACGCGTTCCAAGTTCCACGCTATTTTCGTGCTGCGAGTAATTAGAATACCGATAGCTTCGCCGAACGTACTTGCCGCCCCTGCCGCTCGCGTGCCCTTCTTTTTACTTCCAAACAAGAATGCGTCTAGGGATCACCAGCCGTGCAACTTCGAAAACGATCCTACGGTAGAACGGAAAACACGAAGCTAAACGAAAATAACTACCGTTACACAGGGTGGGACTAACTAAATGTAAAAAGTCATACTTGCATGGGTTGTTAAAGATAAATGTGAAAAGAAGAAGTTGAACGGTTCACAGATTACCGAAATTGCAGGATCGCATTTTTTTTTATCACGTTGGTCGCCATGTCACTCAGAAATGGATGACAGAACTTTTCATTAAGGAACTAAAACAATTAATTCCAAAGGAGAGACAGTGAACTCGGCAACGTTAAAAGATTAAATACTACGATAAATGTTAAATTATGTAATCTTTTTTAAAAATTAAATATATATACTAAACTACAGCTGTAATAAAAAAAATGCGTGCTCCTCGTTTTCATAATTTATTTAATTCTGTTCATCTTAAACAAAAAAAGTGATACAGTTTCACGTTTGGCTGGAGTGTATTTATACTGGAAAGCAACGTAGCAAGATTACGAGTGTAGTTGTACCAAAAGCAAACGAAATAATGAAACTTTTTAAAAATGGCGAGGGTAAAGGAAAGTAGCGAAATTTTACAGAAAATGGCGAAACATTTTTTTAATACGAAAAAATATTACTGCTGCGCTGTGGCCCCGACGAATAAAGTACGTTTACTTTTATATGTGTGCCACATTTTATGATGATTTGTTCATTAGTGTCTGCAAGACCGCCAGCTAGAAAAAAGTAGCTTTCTGTAAAGCAACGTTAAACTTACACACTTTGCGTCACGGTTCCATTTGCGCATGAGACTTTCACGCTGTAATAAAGTACGCTCTTTATTAGAAGAGAATAAGAGTACCAAAAAGTAAACCATCATCTTTGTATGGAATCTTTAATCAAGCGATACGAAGTCTTTTCGCACGAGATTATTTTTCACTTTTTATATCTGTTTGTTTTTTTATTAGGAATGTTACTTTACAATTTGTCCTAGTTAACATTTGGTAAATTTTGCTAATATTAAGACAATATAACATGTTAAATGAATAATGCAACGATCGATTGCGCATGCACCATTGCATTTTTTTTAAACAACATGGTCTTACAAGTATAGTACACTTTGAACCATTTAGTTCTTGGTACGGTCGTCGGGATTTAAAACATTACATCGTCTAAGCTCATACGTACAGAATTTTCCACGGAGTCTGCTCGTATCTAAATCACTTGGCGCTAACGATAATCTCGATCCGAGAGCGTGAGCTTAATCGTGTCGAGCTAATTCTCGCTCGAAACTCCCCAGACTGCAATAGTCGTAACATTCGCATGAAAGCCCGCGTATGAGAACGTGCCAAGAAAGCTCACCGTTTTCAGACCTCGTACCCACTCGGAACTCGAAAGTACTTTCCTTTTAATCGCGAATGTATGTAACTTCGGGTTAAAAGCATGTTAAAGGCTCAGCCAATCCGCGGGACTCGCGCCTCGCGCTCTCTCCATGAGCCTCGAAAGTCACCACACCACTCCAAAGTGGAGAGGACTGACTAACTCTCTTATAAGTGAAGTCAATTATACAAAAAAAATTCATGTACTAAACGATAAATTAAAATAAAAAGCATCACAAATATTTTTGTATCGAAAATATTTTATACGATAAATGCACAGAATTCATTCCCACTACGGACCACTAATACCAGCTACGGCTCGTTGATGCTGTTCCTACTAATCTAAATCTAATTTCACTTTACACTTTACACTTTGCTGATTATAAATCTACATTCAGTCTTAAAAGAAATAAACTTTGCCAAAAAAAAAAAACAAAGGCAGAAGATAGGTTTCACCGCCTAATATTAACACCGTGCAAATATTAGCGTTGTTGGCACCGACACCCGTGGTCCACATCCCCGTCCCCCGTCGGTAACGCAATTAACAGAGGATTTAAGATTAACCAGAGAAGAATTACGGAAAAGAAAATGGTATTCAAGTTGCGCGTGTACGTAGACCGACAGAAACAGGATTAAGTGCACGGAATTCGAGAGCCGGAATCCAAGGTAATTCTTGCTTAATCCTCGGGCACGATTCTGCGACGAACCGTTCGTTCCATCCGAGCGCAACGAGAGTATTTTCATCGTAATATCGCCCCGTCCAAAGATAATCCTATCCTCGATATTGCTTCCATCTTTAATGCACTCAAAATCCATCGCCATCGATGGGTACGTCCAGTTTGAAATCGACGGAAATAAGATCGCCAGCGTCTATACCGACGGGCTTACGCTACTCCGAGAAACTTTTCTAGGAAGACTGATCGTTCGACGGTTCTATCGATCCCTGATTACTTTCATCCTCCACTCGACTGGCCATGTATCGCGCGGGAAACGATTTCGTGTCAACGGAAACTTGTATGGTTCCGTGCAATTAAACGAGACAAGGTGTAGCGTCATAGGTGTCTTTTGAAATACTGAGCTTCGCCGCGACAATGGCGATTCAACGTAATAGTAGGAGGGATTTGCGCTTAATTTAGTTTATAATGGAGCGAGCCTAAAGGGTTGAAGTTATTGTAACGATCAGCCTACGGTGTTTAATACATTGTATACGAAGTGCATCGAACTTGTATGTGGGTAGGACACGCTACTAATTTATAAATTATTATTTAATACGATATATACTATGTTGACTCCGCTAAATTTTAACAAGAATATTACTAATGAATTGATGAGGTCTTTGTAAATGAACATAAATCGACAAGGAAACGATGCAATTATTTAATTGCAGTGTAAAAATTTTCTCTTAAGAATATGAATCGTTAAGGAATTACCGAGGAAAAATGATCTTCCATAACACTCTCCGGGATATATTTTTACTCTTTCAGTCTCCAAAGGAGCCATTTTGTATCTGCGTTAAGTCGTATATTCTCGCAACAGTAACGATGGCTTATTCTTGTCCCGCGGAAATTCTCATTCATTTCAATTACGCTATGCTTAGTCTCGACGTTTCTGTGATATAATAAAACATCATTATTCATGCAAATAAAAGAAGTTCGTCACTTATCGTTATCAAAGACACAATTTTGATCACTTAATGAGAATTTTCAATATGTAATACAAAATTTATTTGGAAACATCACACCTCTCATTTAATTTAAACAAGCTCTTTCAATAGACATAAAAGGTACGAACAGCCAGTATAGACATTATTTAGACAAACTTTTTCAATAGACGTGAAGAGTACTGACTGCAAATAGTTTATTGTAATCCAGAGCTGACCTTACAGAATTCTACCCAAAACAATCGCTCGATGCCTTCATGGCTGTCCTATAAACTCGTGCCTCGTACTTAACGTGTGTCAAACCCACCCACACCCGAGATTCGTAAAAGTCATTCGTCTCGCGATTTTCTCGCACCTGCGACGACCTCTCCACAAACATGTACCAGTACCAGCAGTCGCAGATACTGCGACGAGCAATCCCAGTGCGGAATGCGGGCATTAAACCGTGTTCGAGAGTCCGGCAATTAACCTCGCACAGTGTGTCGTCGTGAAACGAACGTTTCACGATCCACGCGACTGTTACGGTGTACTGACGGATGCTTTTATTTGCAGGTGGATCGGAATTAAACAGCACAGGCCACGTCGATGCGAACAATCCCACTCGAAGCACCGTCCTGTGAAGTAACTACCTCGAACAATAAAACAAACTACTCGAGCATCGAAGTCAGCACAAACGCCGGGCGAATGCGATTATGGAGTGACGAAATGGGCAAAGCCTCTTCAGCAACTTTTTACAAAGAAGTTGACCAAGAAATATGAACAAACTTCGTAGCCTCGCGGACCTCTGCTCGAGATCAGTGAGCTGTTCTTTATCGTCGCAAAGCTGAAGAATTTTTCATTACTTCTCGTTCTACTGATTGTTTCAATTCCAATCTCGATCCATGCTTGAGACACTACGATTGACAGAGTAGCCAGTCGCAGTGGTCATAACTGAAAGGTCTACATTATCAACCGGATCGATCGCGATAGGGATAGAGTCACAAGGGAATCCGTCAAGCGGACGGGAATACGTCTCGTCGCTGTCTCCGTCAGTTTCATTTGGATATATCCCCGTTTCCTTTTATCGCGAATCTTCATTCGGCCGTTGGACGCGTCCCGCAGTTCCACGTCCTCTCACGAGCATAAAAATATAACGACTGGAGATCCGGAGCGTCCACGGCTTATGGGTGACGCCAGCGAGGGGCAGAGGGTGGCGAACAGAGCGCGGGGATACGCGATACCGCGGGATCACCCGGTATAATCTCGTAAAACCCGCCGAAGAGTCCATCTACGCGGGCGGTAAAGCCGTCGACGGCGTCCCGACGCTGGAAATTGCCGCGCCGTGTATCCGTGGCTGACAGTTCTGACGGTTGCTGGACTGCACTCGTCGCGATAGGTGAAACGGATAGAACAGGATTATCGGCGATCGCAATTTTAGCAACCGAGAAAGGAACTCTGGGAGACAGGATCTCCGTGGAAAGTTTATCCGTATTTCCAACGGATACTTAGAGTCCAATTCGAAGCCTTTCAATGACGAACACTTTCATCTAACGGAGTCATCGTCGATCTGGGGTTCAACGATTCGAGAAGAAAGGGAACACACTCGTGGAGAGTTTACCTGTGTTACTCAAATTTCAATAGCTTTAGCCACTCCAGTTGACATCTTGGATCTGAGTTTTACGAACTAATGAAAGAACTCTGCGAGGCAGATATCCTGTAGAAAGTGTACCTGTTTTGTTTGTGGATATTTTGCTAGACTCAAATAAATATTCGAATCGTTTCAACGACAAACATTTCCGTCTAACGGAGTCCTCATTAACCTAAGATACAATAACTGAGGCAAAAGTCTACTAAGATGCAGCCTCTTAAAGAAATCATCCGTGCCAACAGCGGATACTAAGATTTCGAATAGTTAGACTCGTCTTACCACAGCAGCTGACATCTCGGATCTGAGTGTCACCCACAGACAAAAAATCTCTATGTACGAAGTCGAGTTGATACTCGAATGCTTGAGACTGTTTCATCGTCGGTGCGTGTAGTGTAAAACCAGACTAGATCAGTCCTGATCCTTCGACGTGTGTGAAATACTATTCCGTGGGGTTTTTGTTATGCCAGTGCGCGTTGCTTTATCGCAGGCTACGTTTGGTTAGGAACCCGTCGGGGATGGATCATGTGCACGTGAAATCGAGGTCAGCCTCCAAGAGTAACCCGACGAAAATGGCGTGCGAGAAAGCGACCAGACGACTGAGGACGGTTTTGGTGAAGGCGTCACGTCTTGGCGTCTCTACGACGGAGGTTGCCAGGCTGCCCACCGCCAAGAAGCTCATTCCGCAAAGGGATCACGGATGGAAATTGGCGGTGTTCCTTCTACTGATGTTTTGCGGTGGTGTGATCGTCGCGCTGGCCTGCACCGCGAGGAAAGGCTGCTCGAAGCCGGAGGAAATCGTAAGTATATCTTGTTGTGTACTTACGCGTAGAATCGCTTTGATTGCGTCGAGCGCACTAAGCATACTTCACAGTTCACACGTGGAGCCAACCTTCTGTGAATGTTTAAATTGTATTTGGGGTATCTGCGGTACATTTTATTGAATACACAGGGTGGTTCGCAGCACCCTCGAACAGGATGTGATTCTACGTGAGAAAACAAAGGCAAAATGTGTGGTACGGTAGAACCTCACTCATTTAAACAGGTCTGGGGACAAGGCAGTTTCGATAACAGAAGTCTACGAGCTACCCTCTAACTCAGTATATACATTGTATATTCTGTGTCTGAAAGTATATGTGTATTTCACGACATTTTGTTTCCATAGAATTATAAATGATATACTCTAACGTTACTGGTAAAACTCAGTCTTGCAACCTCTTTAAAATTGATCAATCTTGCCCAGATTTATTGTCTTTAATACCTCACATATGGGTGACGTGACCGTCAACATGATAAGTATATATATGCACGTTCAGAGACTACAATAAACATACACATGATGATAAAATAACAACATTTGCCCGTAATAACATCCGAATGCGAAACTGTGGTACTAATGGGGATCGATATTAACACATTAGTTTATGAGAACTATACATTCTAAAGAATCAGAAAGTAATGTAAATATTTAATTGATACTCGGTGAGGAAATAGACAGATAGAAATTGTGATAGACGAACCTGACTTTGTTCGATGCTCGTGAACCTATGCATGTCCAAAAGTAACGTATTCCGCTGATCGATAAACTGTTATCGTCAAACGTGAGTGGATACGTGGTTATTTACTCTTGGGACCTTTTTTTTTCTTTTTTTTTTACGTGACAAAATGCGTTTACGCACGCCCCCTCATAAGGAGGGGGTAGTGTGGGACTCGCCCCTTGATTTGATATCAAGGGGAATACTTACTAAAACCTCACGGTGACCGGCCACGGCGCATTGGGGAGGGGCACCGGGGTCTCTTACGAACGCTACCGGTGCCCCCCGCCCCGCGCCTCACTCCCCCCTCCCCCTCCCCCCAACGAAGGGTGGAGTGCCATCTCCGGTGGGGAGTGAATACCTCCCCACCAGACCGCGGGTGCCACAGCCCTCGGTCTCACCTGTCCCTTTTAGTCGCCTCTTACGACAAGCAGGGATTACTGTGGGCGTATTCTGTTCCCCGACCCACAGGGAAATTACTCTTGGGACCTATCGCCGACCAACAGTCCTCTATGTAAACAATCCAGATGGCCTAGGCTAGGATGCGTCCGCACACAATAATGAAACTTGATTGCTTCAGTTGACCTTCTGAAAAGTAATATTGTCACGAAACACGTATCTATGCTTGAACTGAACGGTAAATTAGAAAAAATCTGCATACGATAAATATATAACGTTACATTCTCGCTAGAAACTTATTGTCTTCGAACATTTATTCGTGTAATAATTTCGAAACTTATTTGCGTGGACAGAAATTCCGTCTACAATTTTGTATTTAGGAGTCATCGTGCCAATTTGCATTCTTCTTGAAACGTTGAAATGTTTAAATTGCTAATGAGAACATAAACATATGTCATTCTCTGGAGAGTCAGCAACCTTACGAGTAACAAACTCATTTATTTTACCATTAGCCTTTTTAGTTATGCATTGGATTATGATGAGAAAACTAATAGGAGGAATATTCAAGTATCAAATGCAGTTAAAGATATGACACCGAGCAGAAGGTGGATGCGCCATTACAATGAAATAATTGATACGTAATAACTATGTAAATTATAGTCTGCAAGGTTATTTACATATTTATGATGTATTAGTGGTCTACATTTTGTCATTCCATTAACTTCTTATATTTTGCCAATGTCCTTATATTGTCCTCGTTAACATATCAATTCTTAACTTTTATAACTGTTTATCGTACCTTATACGCTCGCTCTATTAGTTTTCTTCAATGTTTCTCTTTCCAAGTAAAACAATAAAGGAACTCTCCCAAGTACTGAATTTCTATGAATATGCAAATTACCAAGGGCTGATCTCAAACTTACGGTCGATGGTGTATATAGTATATTCCATGGTCCAGTAATTATCGCCACCTTGGTAACTACGAAACTGCGAGTCTTGCAGAAGAATTTATTTAATAAACTTTACGCTACACGAACCCCGCATTCAATTGTAAATATTATAATTGGAATTTCTGTGTAGCAAAACAGTATTTGATTTTATTCTTATAATCACATAAACACTTCAATATAAATGGAACACTGGGTATACCAATTCTTAGGTAATTAATACTATTATTTATATAGTAATTATGGTTCAATTTATTGTGCATATAATACTTCTATAATACTTCTTTTCATATAGATGATATCTATTGAAAGACGTTCTTTGTTGACACCAACTTTATCAAACTTTAGATAGTTATTTATAATACCTATTAAAAGACCTTCTTTGCACATCCTTTGTTCAAACACTATTGGCATTAACTTTATAAAGCTTTAGATAGTTGTTTATTTATATTTCATGTAAACATGTTTCCATAATGATAATATCTATTAAAAAACATTCTTCGCACATCGTTAGTTCAAACTATACTTGTAATATCTCTATGAAACTTTACAATTCCATTTATTAGAACTTAAAACAAACATGTACATCTCTTCATAATGAAATGATAATTTTTAGAAGCAGTCCTTCATGTTATAAATTCTACTGATTCTAATACAGAACATAGTATTATTTCTTGTTTAATATGAGTATAAGTACAAATAAAATATTCAACATTTTTAGAATAACGTTTCATGGTAAGATGACATTTTTTTTTTTTCAAAAAAATGATTGTCGACAATTATATTCGTCGTGACCTCAGAAAATATAATACATTTGCTTAACATGCGTGGAAAATTTCCTGTAAAGTAGTTTGTTGGTACCGAAGTTTTTAAGGGTCCCATTTAGGAAAAAGTAATTTTGAGAAAAACAACGTCAAAGGGTCAAAGTTAGATACAGCGTTACTCGAGAGTTTTATTCCCACATGTATATAACGAAATTTAGTAATTAGTTTATCCACAGGACGCTTTCAACTGAAAAAAAATTGAGAATATAAAAAATATACCGTCTCATCTTTACAATGAAAATTTTTATTTCCATAAACTCACCTTAATTTTTTAAATTTCAATTTTATGTATCTCTCTTTCCTTTTCTTTCTTTTAATCTTTTTCTTTATTATCGCTTCTGGTTGTTGTAGAAGCATTACGTAGAAAGTATAAATTATGTAGATACCCAAAGCGAGGCCTAGGAAAATTTTCATGAAATGTACTTGGTAGTCTCCGTGTTCGATGAACCGCACATATTATTTCCTTTAAAGCTTGATAGAAGCTTCTCTGTAAACTTTAAGTATCTGTGAATCGAGAACTATTGAAGACAGCTTTGAGACTCTATTACGTGGTCATGTTATACAGGGTGTCCCAAAAGTCGGGGAGGAGCCGGAAATGGGTACGCGCGCTCTGATTGGTCGGGGTTTTCTCTTAATATCTCCTACGAATCTGCTCTACCCTCTTCTACGAATCTGCTCTACCTCCGTTACGTTATAAAGCAATAAATATGCAGAAATGTAAAGGCCATCTTAATATTTAGAACGAAACTACACCTACGTGGTTGTGGATACGTTTAAGAATACTGAAATTTCTACAAGGCAATCAAAAAACCTAATTTAAATATTAAAAAATGGAAGGATAATTCTTATATTTAGAACAAAACCTAAGATGGGCAAAGTTTGATTAAAATAGTACAGTGTTGTCCACATAACTCTTAACAGAGAAACTATACCATCGATTTTAAAGTTCTTGGTCTTAAATTGCATGGATCTAAAGGGCCTTTCTAACTCCATTAAAGTGAAATAGCTTCACTTTCCCTTTAAGAGGGAGGGCGGGAGTACCTTTATAATTTTAAATGGAGCCCCCTATAAAACGTTACATATTTAGATTTTACTTTTCAAGCTGTGTAACGGGACACATTTATTCTGTTGCTACCCACCCATTCCATCGCCATACAGCATTTTTCACCATACAACGGGATATGAATTTCGGCTGTTCGAAAACAAAAAAATGTTCAATCTGAACAAAAAAATTCCATAATTTCTCAGAGTAACAGAGTCAACCTAAAATAAAACGATATCTACAGCTCTGATACCTATACCCCATTACCATTCGCCCTTCCCAAAAAAAAAAAAAAAAAAAAAAATATTAGAATCCAGGGAAGCTGGAGGGGGTGGTTCAGCTCTGGAACAGCTTCCAGAACAACCAATCCTACCAAAACACCCTCAATTCGGCCGGTACGACCCCATCCGACGGTAATCACTGGGTAACGCGGGCAGAATTCTGCTGACCATCGAGGGGCGGGAGGGTTAGGAGACACACAATTAAGCGCGACCTTTCGCGTGACGACTCATTGGTTTTCCACCCCCCTTGGGGTCATACACAAACTTTCCACTCGTAGTCGTCCGCGGTGCAACCGCATAAGGTACGACGTGCATGCGCGAGATATCGACTAGTAGCCGCGGGGAAGCGAGATAGGAGAAACGGCGAGGAGGTAAGACGGAGCAAGAGAAAGCATCGGGACCAGTCTGGGTTTGGTAGAGGACAAGACCGGGGATGAGGAGGTGAAAGAGACGGAGACACGTACGGAGAGAAGACAGAGCAGGAGAACCGTGTTAACGATGTTTCGTGTAGAGAGGAGGCCGGGGACTGAAATTACAGATCAAGGGGTTTCTAAACAATTACGCTGTCGGCAGGAGGTCAGGCCGAACAGCGTGAGGTTAGAGGTTACGGCTCGCAGGAGCCGAGGCTTGCGGCCTGCGGCTGGTTGCGGACGAGGGTCGAGGCTAACAGGAAGTGCTCTCTCACCGCTGGCCAATGGGCGGGTGGCTACATCGTCGGCTGGCTGGAGAAGCACTACTCCTATCCTCTGATATTCCGCCGGGAACGCTGTTC